ACATCCAGCTAGTCAGAGGCTCCGTTCTGTGGAAGTCAAACTCTCAGATGATCTTAATCCGCCAAACTCAGTTCTAATGGTTGGAGCTAAAGTACATTTTTTTCAACTGTAAAAATCACGGGAAAGCTCTTGTCTCCCTCGGGGTCAGACGCAAATAAAAAAATGGTTGTGTAAGAACTAGGGATGTAACGATATATCAAATATCGCGGTAAATAAATGTCACAATACCGTCGTGAGACTGACAAAATATACCGCCTTTTTTTTAATTTTTTTTTTTACATTTATTCAACCAGATGGTCTCATTGAGATCATCAATCTCTTATTCGAGGGAGACCTGTCCATCATGGCAGGCAGTAGTTACCAACAGGAACATAAAAAACAACAGAATAACACAAAAGGGAGCATGGTATTTTACAGGACTACATGTACATACCTAGAGACATGGAAAAAGTTACGCAGACAGTATATTTATATCTCGCGCTGCGTCAATTAGAGCATCACCTTTTTTGGGCAAAAAGGCGGTATGTGTTTTGAAGGAGGGTGGAGAGACAATGCACAGTTTGACCGACTGCTGTCACCCATGGCCAAAGCATATCTCTCTGTCCCAGCAACATCATCAGCCTACCAAGCAAGAGAGTTTTTTTTCCACCACAGCAGGGAGATTGTAATTCCTCGAGAACTGCCGCGAAGAAACATCCCAGCTTCTACGAAATGAGCATGCTCACTGATCCTAAGAAGGAACCGTTGATGATGGGAAGTAAGAGAGTTAAGTGGAGTTTGACGGGAAAAAACGGAAAGTGACGTGATTTGATTGGGTATGCAGTCGTATTATTATATTGTACACTTTAAAATAGCTACTATCCTACTAAAATGCGTACAAATGCAGATTTATTATTTAATTTTAAAAAAAGTACAAAAAAAATTCACTTTTTTTTCTTTTTTTTTTTTTGAATATCACGTTAGGAATATCGTACCGTGGACTTTTTATCCGCGATATATGCGTACCGTGAGTTTTTGGTATCGTTACATCCCTAGAAAGAACGTTAGAACCCTGAATTATCCTCCTGGGATGGCAGGGTTTATTATTCAAAGTGCAAAGGCTTAATTTCAGGCCGTGTTTAAGTTGAGCCCGAGCTGAGGGGTATCTTGATGTGTACGATTCCTTTTTACTGTAAATAACCGTTTTGAAGAAATGTACATTAATTTTTGTTTGCTAAACTTTTCTGGAAATGTGGTTAAAACGTATACGAAATTGGTTCTTGCGCTCTTGGCTAGGACACATTGATCTATTATTTTCTGAAGAGTATTTGGTTGGGACCTTTTCAGTTACATCACCATGTGCAGATGAACCTGTTTTGTGTGCGACATTTCAATGGACCTTCAGTGCAGGAAAAGCCTCCACTCCCACACAAATTTAGGTTACGTCTTTCATGCATTTACCAAGCAGATTTTTCAAAAAAGCGTTTGGGAAACCAGCTTCCTATAGTGTGTTTTCACTAGCTCGATCCTAGTAGTTTGTACTGACCTTCCTCGACACCTCGTTGATGTATTTGACGTTTCCGATGGGAAAATCTATGGACGCCTCAGTATTGTTACCAAGAGATTGGCTTCAAACGGTCTTAAACATCTTCTGTATACAAACAGGAATATTTATGATGAGGAAATATTTTGAATTATGTATGGGGAATATATTAACGCCCATATATAGAATGTTTGAGGTTCAAAGACCATTGCACATATTCTATATACTTTTTAAGCTTACCAGTTCTCGAGGTTTGTGATACATTTGTGTTTGGAGCTTTAGAGTCAACAAGGTTATCAATAAGTCTTTCCATTAATTATCATCAAATACACTTCTGTCTGTCTGAGTTTGATGTGAAGACATGTTTACTGAAAAAGCTCATTACAACCTCTCAGCATTCAGTTTGATTTTTATTTTTTTTATATCCATTTGACATGTTATTGTTTTAGCAGCAAAGGCGTCCCGACCAATATGACAAAAACGCGAATAAATCAATCGTGGAAGTGAAGGATTGGTTTCATGATTTGTAAAACTGTGTTCAGAAAGATCTGTAAATTAGGTATGCTAAAAAGTGATGCAACAAAACATATTTGTATGTCTTTTGGATTCGTCTCAACCTCACTGCCTCTTCCTCCTTGATCTGCTCACTGAAAATATAAATGCCAATGTGTTTAAAAACTAGTATGAGGAAGGCACTAACCTCTTGCTCCCAAATAATAAGATTGTATTGTTGGCTTGCTAATTTTCTGTTCCTTCAACTTAGATTCCGAAACAATTCAACTTTTAACCGACTGTGACCGTCACATACAACAGTAACAAGACGCCCTACTGCTCATGCTTTCCCGCTTTAAAACCTCCATTTGTTCCGTTAATGGCAGCTCCTCAGGGATTTAATGGATGAGGATTAGATACGTGAGGCGA